TTTTAAATAAAAACCCAGCGGATATGGAAAAAACGAGAAGAAAAAAACCCCATCCCGGATTTTTTTCTTTTACGAACCACGACCTGGATTTAGAAAAAGCAATTTTGAGGGGATCATACATGCAACCTTACCACTGTTAAATCGCGACATTCCCATAGTCTGAACATAAACTTAACACATTTTCTCAAGAAGGCGCTGAGAATCTTGAATGCATTAGTACCTTTAGAAGGTGGCTGTCTTCCATGGAGAATGTGTTCTGATAATCCTGCGGGCACACTTTCTTAAGGTAGGCGCACAGCTGAGCATGTGTTTCCATATGTCGCACCTTAGCATTGTTATGCAGTTCCTCCCCTAAATATCACTCACTGCTATCACTTAAACAGTGACAATGCGCCTGAGAAAGCATTCAAGAAAAAACCAAAAATGTGAAAAAAAGCAAATTGAAGTTACAGTTCGAGCAGAAGCAGTGTAACCTTTAATAATTTCAATTTCGCCGAGTTCCTTCTCGTCAACGGACTGCAGTGTTTCCAGACAACAATAATACAAATATGGCCGGTAGCAAAAAGTACGGCCTTCCAAGCGTACACATGGATTTCCCGCAAACGTTATGGACCGGATACTTCTCAGATGTGACAGAAAGTGAGCCTGGAACTTGGAATTTAGTACAACAATAAATCTGGCAATTTCTATCTAGCTGAAAATAAGAATAAAAATACCATGATACAGAAGGCAAATACCTCTCTCAAATCGGTGATCAAATTTTCTCCAACGTCGATATTTTCCAGGTACTGTGGCATTGTGCGATGTATTTCACTGAGGCTGCTAATTTGATTGGCATGCAAATTCACAGTCCGTAACAATGGCAGTTTGCTCAAATTGGGCAAATCACTTAGGCGGTTGTTCGAAATGTCCAAATATGTTAAATTGGTAAGCCGATCGAGCAAAGGAATTGCCTAAAATCCATCACAATCTATTAGTATGTGGGAAATATAACAAAAGTTACAACAT